TTGAGGAAGAGCACGAGATCGCGCCGTTTGTCCGCTTCGGTCGCCTCGTCGGCCAATTGGGCGAAGAGTTGGCGTAAGAACTTCTCGTCCTCTTGGATGAGAGACACGATCTCGACTTTGTTGAAGAAAATGAAGGACGAGAGCGTCGACAACATGTTCTCCTCGAAGACGGAGGGCGTGGGCAGCACCACCTCCTGGATGTATTGCACGCGATAGGTCTGATGGATTTTGGCGACCAGTTCCGGGTTTCCCAGAGGAATCACTTCCTTGAAGCGCGAGACGCTCTTCAGGTACTCGCGATGACGCTTCGGGTGCGCGAGCTGTGGGTCGTACTCGAAGACGCCGATGATGTCGAAGAGCGCGTCGTCCGAAAGCATCACTTCGAAGAGTGGGTTCTTGTTGAGGAGGAATATGTTCTTAAAGATCTCGTAGAGCTTGTGGAGCGCGCGCACGTCCTTCCGGTCTTCGAGCGCGCGGAACAATTGCAACAACTTCTTGATGTAGTTCTCGGTCTCCAAAGCGATGGCGAGTTTCTCGCGTTTGATTGGATACGGCAAACACGTGGCCATCAGTTCGGAAATCTCGTCCAAGCGCTCGCTCTCGCACTGCGGCAGTTCGATGGCCAGCGAGGAGGTGCCTGTGGGGGTGGGGGTGAGGGGGGGTTAGCAGAGCACAACATACACCAGTTCAGGAGCTCATACCCGAGTCGTTTTGGTCGTCGAAGCGCTCGTCCTCCTCCTCCTGGATCTCTTGCGTGATGTCGACCGACGGGTCCTTTCCCTGGACCTGACAGATCTTCGCCCAAATCTCGTCACAACCCGCCCTCTCCTGGAAGCTGAGCGCGAGGTCGTAGTTGTCGCCCTCCGACCACACGATGAGCGTCTCCTGTTGCTTCTGGTACGCCGTGTCCGCCAAGATCTTGCTCTCGAGGAGCAGCGAGCCGTCCGACTCGGCCTTCACCAGAAGACTCATGCCTTTGAGGCGATCGACATAAGAGGACGAGACGTGTCCCGTTCCCCTGTCGTCCCACTGGCGGTCCGCGTTCAGCGCATACAACTTCACTCTTCGCTTCGTGTCCGTCATGTGTGCGATGTCTGCGGCGATTGGGATCAGTCTTGAGGTGTCATTGTTGTCACCATTCAGTCAGACGTCAACACAACAGCCAATCAATCGCTTCAATGGCTCACAGACTGAGTGACAAACAAAATGGCAGAACAGAGACGAATACGTAGAAGGCATGCGTGCTTCCCGACTATGACGCACACGTTCCCGAGTGGGTGTGGGAGGGGACGCCCGGGTGCGGAAGGGGAGTTGTGAGCGAGGGCCTGGGCAGGGGGTCTACGGGGAGGGTCGAAGGCTGGTGATCGGGGGGTCAATTGCGAGGCCAGTCGGCGGCAATCGGGCGGATATATAGTGTCGGGAATATGTTTGTAGGAATTCCTGGAATCGAGCGCTGCGTATGACTCAAGGCTTAGACAGAGTTTTTGTTTGCAAACTCAATGGAGTTGTTCACGAATGACGTGACAAATGGGACAAAGCGTTGACGTAATTGAGGGCACAATCGATGCATCGATCGAATGATTGGATGATTGGTTCGATCGATGCGAAAGTGAATCCGAAATCAGAATTGATTTTCCACTCAATGATAGTGTTTAGAGACAATCGATTGGTTGGACCGGAGATTGAGAGCTGAGACACACAGAGAGACACAAAGACAGAGACATAGAGAGAGAGAGAGAGAGAGAGAGCAGACACTGACAGAGAGCCTGAGTGTTGCGAACCGAGAGATAATTGTTTTGTTTTCTGCCACTAATTAGTGGTTTCGTTGAATACATTAACGACTCGTTTCTCGTCGACAATGAAATCGCGTCGCACTTTAGGATCAGGCGATGGCGAGCCCTACCGTTCCCGTCGTCAACGACTACCCCGTCTATCACGACGACTATCACCGCCGGTATAACAACAACGCGTTCGGCTTCGAGCCCAAGAAGTCGACGCAAAACTTGAGTCCAATCATTGTCTTCAGGAATGAGTCGAACGCGAAGTTCGCCAAACAGTCCACCCCTTCGTTGCTCTCCTGTTGTAACGCCGACGCGAAGAACCACTTCCTGACGGTCCGCAACCTCCTGAAGGTCGTGTTCATTATGTTCTGCGTCGGGATGTGTTTCTACCAAACGGTCGACATCTTCAAGAAGTACTCGTCGTTTCCGATGGACGTGAACGTCGTGGTCGAGGAGATGAAGCTCTTGCAGCTGCCGGCCATCACTGTCTGCAACAACAATATGTGAGTCTGAGAGACGAGACTAAGACTAAGACTAATGAAAGACTAATGGCTTTCAGAGTGAAGAGAGAGCTGTTGTTCGAGAAGTTCCCGAATCTCCGCAAAGAGACCAATAATTCGGTAATCAATGAGAGGAAGAGTTTTCACAGTTTTAAGAGATTAGTTGTGAAAATAGATGAAAAAGTTGGAGAAATTCACTCGAGAGTGGATCGCGAAGACGCCGTTGAATGAAGTGCTGGAATTGGCGCCCACTTTGAGGGACTTCGTGGATGTGATGGAGTGCGACACCCAATACGACCCGGACGGAGACGACCCCGTGGCCAAGAAGTTGAAGTGCGTGGACATCGATGTGATCACTTCGCTGCAGAAGAACGGCATTTGTTTCACGTATTTCCACAAAATGGCAAAACATGTTCGTCCGAAACCCAAAGCGTGCGTCCAATGGGGCACTTGTCGTGAGTATTGAGGCAAAGGAAAGCCGTTTCGCTAAACAGTAATCCCTTTCGCAGCCCAAAAAGAGCCGTTTTTCGACACAAACGAAATAATTCGCTTCGAACTCGACTTTCAGCCGAAGCAATACACGAACCAAGAGCTGCCCATCAGTGGACGCATTGCCATCCACGACAACACGGAGATCGGGAACTCCCTGTCCAACAGCTATAACCTGCAGCCCGGCTTCTACTACCAGTTCTACATTAAACGCCAGTCCACACAAATGCTGAGAAAGCCGTTCGCAACCAATTGTTTCGATTACGTGGCAGAAGAAGGACAGCGTCTGAACCGAACGCAGGATTTCGCGTCTATTCCTCTGTCGCGAAAGGTATGTCCTGTTGTCGGCCTTTACTCCCAACGACTGACCGCTCGCTCGTTGACAGCAATGCGCGTCCGGCTGTACGTCGCGCTTCGCAATCAATCAGTGCTTTTGTTGGCCTCCGGAACTGCCGTACGTTCGCAACAACGGCCTCGACGTCAACCGATCGCTCACGTGGTGTCAGTGGAGGTTCGTGGAGGGTATGTATGAATGTACAGTACATGTCCAGAGACTACGATTGGCGTTCCCTTTACAGCGCAGAACCTGTACGGCATGTGTTGGGACAAGAAGGCGCGCCTCAAGTGCGCGATGCAATGCCAGCCCTCGTGTTGGACCGATCACTACGAGCTGTCCGTCCAGAAGCTGCAGTTCGAGTACTACGGAAGACCTGTAAGCGAGACATGGATGAGAGTCGGGATAAGAATAACGCCTCTATTCTTAGGACTGGGATTCGGAGGACGAGAAACTGATGAACACTTCGGCCGTCGTGTCGATCCGCTACTGGACTACAGAACACACGATCCACAAGTACTCGCCGATGTTCGCCATCCTAGACATGGTTTGCTACGTGGGAGGCCTGGTATCCATGTATACCGGCATCTCTTTGATCGCGATCTACGACTTCTTCATTCTCTCGCTGTTTATCATTAAGAAAAAGTATATTTGAATAAAACTTTCGTTTGAATTAGAATTTCCCGCTTTTGCGCGCATTTGACGCTATTTTTAGTCATGTTTTCGAAAAAAGCCTTTTTTGTCGTCTTTTCTCTCAAAAGAGGTCTCAAAACCAAAAGCGACGCAAAAGTCGCGCTTTTGGCGGCAAAACGGCGACAAAACCTGACGTTCGCCGAAATGGCGGACAAATTGGCCGCAAATAAGGTAACGAAAGGAATGAGAGGAACGCCTAATCAACGCCTTTCATCTCAGGTTCGACTCTCGGCCGCCATTTTCGGCGAACAGCCCTTCGATAAGGACACGGCTGCGCGCGTTCTGCAGTTCCTGGATCTGTCGGACGACCGCCTGCTTGAGCTCATGCAAGAGAAGCCCGAAATCCGCGGACAAAACGAACACTTCTTCAGCGATCCCTTCATTGCGCGTCTTCTGGAAGTGATTCGCGTTTACGGCCCGACTCTGAAGGCCATCGTCGAGGAGGAGAACGGAAACGGAATCGTGTCGGCCGTCGACTGTCGTCTCGCGTGCGACAAATACGACGACGCGGACGGCACTCGACGCGTGCGCATCACAATCGACGGCAAGTTCTTGGAATACAAATGATTTATTGAATAAAGAGTTAACCCTTTCTTTGGCCGCCATTTCCTCCGACTCTCTGTCCGTCCCTTTCGTACCAAACTAAGCCCAGTCTCGAGAGCCGCGGATTCGCGACGAAACGGCGTCTCAGAGGCGCCGGTCTTTTGACGCGCAGATAATCGCCGACCGTTTGATTACTCGTTTTGATTCCCGGCCCTCCCTTTCCCGTGAAACCGCGTCCCACGCGATGACTGCCGCCGACATGTTTGCGGGCGTTTTGCGCGAGAATTGCGGCCAATATTTGGCACAAAATAAGGAACGAAACGAAAGTTTTATTCATTTTGAACTCAAAAACGGAACTAAAAAGCGTTTCCTTTCTTGCGTTTCCTCTCATTGTTTGCGTTTCTCTGCAAAGCAATCAAAACAATGAATAAAAGTCTTCACAAACTCTTCACTCAAACCTTCGATGACTTCCGCTTTGAGTCTCGCGGCTAAAGAGCGCCGGAAAGCGAGCGCCGAGTCGTCCGTCACTTCCGTTTCCGGCGCTCGCATTGCGCGCGCGCTCTTTGGTCGCCGCGCCTTCTCTTCGTCGGACTGCACGCGAAGGATCTGAAAGACAACCGGAAGTCAGAGGAAAACCGGAAATGAAAGCCTTTTCTCACGATTTTGTCTCTCTCGCGCTTCTTCGCGGCCAACAGTTTGTCTCTTTGTTGACGAAGATATTCCGAACGCTTTTTCATGTCTTCCGCCGACTGTTGTCCAGAAAGAGGCTCAGAATGCGTCTCCGCTGTCGTCGTCGTCGTCGTCGTCGTCATGGCAACAGTCCGCCCGTTGTCCACAAACTCCACATTAGGAACGGGAGTTGGAGGCGAACCCCTCTCCGCCTCCTCTTCGACGTCGTCTTCGGCGGCGATCACCTCTTGAATGGCGTTCTCAAGTCTCAGCGCCTGTCTCTCGACCTCCGCCTCCAAACGCCTTCTCTCCTCCGACAGCGCGTTCTCCTCGCCCTTTTGGTCGCCCTCCTCTTCCCCCTCGGCCTCCAGTGACCGCCGAATGGCCTCTTTTACGGTCGTCTCTTCGTTGAGAAAGGATTCGCCGTTTTCTCCGAACGGAACGAAAGAGTCGTAAACTTTTCCGAACTTTTGGA